TTAGTTTCACCAGAATTCTTATTTCAGTTAAAGTTATGGTGGTTTTTCCAACCTGGGTTGCAATAATTAGAATAGGGGTTATTAGGTTTATTTTTAATTGCAAACAAATTTCCAAATGTAAGAATGTTGGAATCAATCATCTGTCCAAATGAATTTTCCTCAATCACTTGAGGTGTTTGAGATAAATTTATTCCCAATTGTTCAAACTTTCTTGATATTGCAGCTACTTGAGATATTAACATAGAAATAACATCATAATCATGAACAGTGGTTATTCTTTTAGGATTACCCATTCAGAAGGTCATTAAAAATTATTTATAGTCATTTCTTCAATTAAAGAAAAAGTATCATGAAAATGTTTTGACATTAATGATCCACCAACAACAGCATTAATAATAGATATTGGAGGTCAAATTATTAACCAATCGGGTAAAGAATGGTGTAGACACTTTCTAAGAAGTTCTTTAAAGCGCTCCCAAGCCTCGTATATTGATTCCCATTCAAACTAACAAAAAGATGTAATATCATTTCTAAGCTTAATTGTCTTTGATGGTGGAAAATACTTATCGAAGAATTTCTGTGTTAGGTCACTCCAAGTTCTAATATATCTAGGTTCTAATGAGTTTAACCACATTTTAGCTTTTTCCCTTAAGGAAAAAAAAACGCCTAAGTCTAACAACATCATTGGAGACACCATTATATTGAAATGTAGTGCAAAGTTTTAAGAAATTTGTAAGATGTAAGTTAGGATCTTCATATGGAGTTCCCATAAATTGGTTATTTGTATCATCTGAATGATAACAGTTTTTAATTCAAATTTATTAAGCTTCTACGACCGGAATTTGTATACTTCAATGAATTTCATCTACCATATGGTTAGCATAATCTCTTAATGGTTTTGGTACACTCTCATCAACTTGATTTTCTAAATTATTATGTATAGTATTTGTCATTTCTTGAAAATTATTAATTTGTTTTTGTTTTCTAATTTTTCCAAGTAGTTCGCTCTAAATTAGAATCGTAAGGTGCTAAACCTTCAGATCCTCAACTACGAATACACTTTTTAAAGGCAAATATTAAAACACGCCAAACACACTAACTAAAATAGAAAATATATCTTCTTTTTTTATATTCTTAAATACAAGCACGTATATAAAAATAACACTATAATTTTTCTACAATTAAAAACTAAGATTTTACTAAGTCAAAAAGATTTCGTTGCTAAGTTTCTCTGGCAGCGGTGCAAAAAACTTGACCCGACCCGTAGTTACGCTATTATTTAATTT